TCGTTACCGAGCCAAAACATTTAGATTTCTTGTTGCCGCGTTCAGCAATGCTGACCTTCTCTCCGTGTTAAATGTTGAGTATGAATTTTCTCAGCTATCTCCTGCTCAGTTTCGAGGATCATGCGGTTAGAACCAATACCACTGCAGGTTCATTTCACAGACTAACGAATAGTCAGCATAAATCCATATGAAAATAGGCATAACAAGCACTCAGTTAACAAACGAAAAAGAGAGTTGGAAAATTATTGAACCTCATCGCTTATAGTTTTTATGCATGAAACTATGCTTGACATCGTCATCCCTAGAGCTTGCAACAATGCACTCAGAGATTAATTTAGTTATCTAATATATACTTCCTCAATATTAAAAAGTCTTCCGATGTCTCCAACTAGGATTAATTTTCCTATCATCTAGTCTTATCCATGCTTGCTAGGTGCCACTCTCCATACAGAACCCAAAGTCCGCTTATTTCTCTAGAAAAATTCGGTACATATCGCTGCCAAGCTACCTCCTATAACTCTGTGTTCGAGTTAATTTGAAACTAAGAAACATATTCTCTGGGCTACTGCTTCCTGGATAACCTTGCCAATTACTTCTCTTCCCTCTATCTTTTAGAATTTCTGTTACTTGATAAAGTATCACTGAAACCTGTTACGTTCTCTTTCAAAAACAGCAGCTTCACTGGCGTTATTGCATCAAAACACTTCAAGCCATCTGCAATAAGAACTAAAGGTTAGTCTTTAACAATACGTTGAGCTTCTACTGTGAGACTTGTAAAACACATTTATGTTGAGGGCTGCTCATGTTCGAGGAACTTTAAACCTTGCGAACAGAGAATCATTAGATTCCAAACTAACAGCCAGATGATTGAAACGCCAGTCTATTCTGTTCATGTGCAAGTCAGTATGAATATACTCTCCAGTCCAACTCTCATGGTATTACTTCTATCTGCGTTTAGCTTCCACAAGATTTAATTTCCCTTGGAATATCGCTTCTACCGGCAAACCTCACCAGTGTCATGATAAACGAGTCAGTTGTAAAACTGTATACCACTTTCAGGTGCACATCTTTCACTTTTCAACAAAAAATACACGACTATGGAGTTCCTCAAGCCTTATTCTTTTATCCATATTTGGGACTGCTTAGCTGGGTAACCCTGCATTGCATTGCAAACATAAACACTTGAACACGAAGTCACATACTTGTAAAAACATTCCAGTAACTTGTAAGTGAAGTTCTTCTATTATAATCTCTCCAGTGCTAGCCCGAAACATCCACAGTACGTAGAGTTTAAACGAGTAGAATAAAAAGGAATTTACAAACACCAACAATAAAAACAACTAACAAAATATGAGCATGTACAATAGGAGAATTTCATCAAGGCTGATTACACAGATCAGTTAAAAGACTTCAGGTTCATAATTGATTACGTCCTATGGATGACCTGTAGTGAACATGATGCATTTCATCATATACGATGACGAACATGGTCTTCATAAGTCATTTTTTCACAATAGTTTGCATAAAGTTCGAATAATACTGAACACACGGGGTTGTGGTAAACAGGGGAGTGTGCGACTGAATCCTATATATATATATATATATATATATATATATATATATATATATACGGAATAAATTTTGTAATTTTCTAGTTATACAATTGAGCAAGATATTTCATGTGAAATAAGCCACCTGACAAGCTTATATGTAAATTAATTCATTCTAAAATGTTTAAGAATAAACCACAATAGGATCATATATTTACGGTGTACATATAAACACTAATTTCTCAAATAAGTCTTGTGTAGATCAGTCTTTTATATTGTGAGAAGTTTGATTACATGTTTGGAAATTCAATCAATCTTTGTGAAACAAAAATGATAGTTAGTGTTTCGTCAAAATATAAATATATAAAATTAGATCATTGGTAATTGACGTTGTGTAGAGTCCATATGCCAGGGGCCTACTTGAACAGCTTTTCTGCAACTTAAATGTTACAGATATTGTCTGGTCCAACTGGTGTTATCTGTTAACTAACTCAATTTATTGATCCAATTTCATGCATCGCGATGCTAAAGTTAGGCAGTTGAAAATGATGCATTACATTAGGGGTATGTATCTCTACTTGTCTGCCATTTTGTAGAACACTGAGCTCAAGTACATTAGAATTTAAACTGGTAAAGGGGAATATAAATAAACTAAAATATGCGTTGTGAATGGGAATAATTTCTATTTCAGACATATCTGAAAATAAAGTTTTGGAAGCATTGGACAAGGCCAGCGTATAAAGCTTAAGGATGGGAAACTTACTATGTGCATGAATCCACTATCTTAAAAAAAGCGCAAACAGGACTGAATTAAAGCAAATGAGTAAAAAATGCTAACAAAGTGTCATATGTTTCGTCCGTAGTGCTCAGCTTATGGTTTCAGTAATTCAGATAAAGACGAACCAGTTATTCAGATCAAATACTGTTAGGTCTATTAGAAAATTTATGTACGATTATTGAACTTCACCAACTGAATGAAAACAATTTACTTCATATTCAACAAATGTTATATGCAGTTTTATTTAGTTAATGATGAATCGATTGTTTTATTAGTCTTAATACTTAAAGAAAAAGTGAATCTTATTATGGGATTTCAAGAAAACGATTAGTCATTGTGACAGACATTGGGATACTTAACGGTATAGAACCTTTTAATTACGAAGCATTGTTGATTTGGTTGAGCATATAAAACCAACGAGGTTATACATTTCACACTTAAAGTTTACTGCTGCGAGGATTTTTTAAATATTAAACAATTTCTTAGTCCATAAAATTTCTATGTGCATCATCGACGTTGATGATTATCATTGAAGTGCTGTGTGTCAGCCATGGCGGCTGTCGAGTTTATGTAGGTTCAGTTAGGCGAATATTCTAATCGTTCGTAACTATGAATTACCATCGGTAAACGTAAAATGTAATATCTACAAACTGTAACTGAACTACTTGACTCACAAAATATCCATCCACAAAAGTTAACGGTAAGAAGCTTAAGTTTCGATTTTATTTAAATGAATCTGAAAAACCCTATTCTGTGCACCGTTGAAAGAAAAACGCAATGAGTACTTGAACCGAATTTCTACCTTCTTTTACAAAAAAGTATCAGTCAAAATACGAAGAATGAGAAATGCATAAAGGAAGGAAGGCCATAAGAAAGTACAAAGAAAGTGAGAAAAAAGAGATATACAAACATTTCAAAATACAATATGTCATTATGATAATCATTAAAAAAACTGCATTCACATGATAATAAATGTATGTAACAATAGTAATAATGATAATCATATGGATATATAATTGCATTACAAAGAAATAAACGTAAAAAACAATTCAGTGTGAAATAGAATTCTGAGGAACTTTTGCAACAAATCATTTTATTTCAAAGATGATAAATAGATCTAAACAAAGCATAGATGAAATGATTGCAGTGAACAAAAGAATACTATATATATATATATATATATATATATATATATATATATATATATATATATATATCGGCTAATAAACTTGAAATAAGTTAGGTAAGAAAAGGTAATATTTACAATTTAAAAAGAAGTGTTTTACTACATTGACATATTGTACGTTAAATATGTATAAGAATAATATTTTTGGTTTCAGTAAGGTGACACTTCAATTTAAACTTAGATGGGATGAAACATTGGTCTACTTGTGTGATTGTAAGTAGTTAAACGAGTAAGCTGTAAAATCTATCCAAATATTCATTACACTCTTAATACCCATAATTCAGCACACAAAAATGATGAAACACAACTAATGTGCACACAAATGAAAAAAAAAACAGGTAGTCAACAATGAGATGTAATCTTTCAACTCAACATTGCAGTTATAATAACGTAAAACGATAATTAAAAGAATCGTTAGTATAGTACATTTTTCAAACTCTATAATTTTAATAGTTACACATATAATGCACGTGTATATTGCTTGAAAACATAATAGCAACAATAGTAATATCATTTCAATTACCTCCCTATTTTTATAAAAAAACAAAAAGTATTGTAATATATGAAATATCACTGTAATCATATGTATTTATAGCATTACAATAAATGTCTTGATAATAAGAGATTAACTGTACAACACAAGGACGAGGACAAACTTTTTGTTCAGGTTAATCGCTTGATATAAACACAAAGTAAAAAGTAAAGAATGAAAGTAAGTTTATATGTTTGTTTTTAAAATGAGAGTTGAAATATTTCAATCTGTGTGTGTCTGCAAGTAAACCGACACATTACTATTGTTAATATTGATCTGTACTTTTCAATGAACATCACATCCAGTTGTTTTTCGAAAAAATTACTCAGAGTTTACATTCTTCTTGCGCACTCACTTCCTCTTAAAAGATGAATTGTGATATCCATTCTGATATATGAGTGACACGCCCATTAGGTTCACTTCTCTCAAATAACAGGAAAACTCATCTCACTAAAGTTTCTTCTTGTGATACATTAATGTAAACGCATTATTTAAATGTACTTACTTTCTGATGAATACCTCGATCAATAATCCGAGATACAGACAAAAAAACAACGACGACAACAAAAAAGGAGAGGTTGTGAATATTGATGCTGACAGACTAGTCAGTAAGCGAATTATCAGCATTTCTTAGAAAAAGGTGATTGTTATCTCGATTGGAGAAAATATTCCCAGAGAGAAGGAACAGAAAGATAAGTGATGTAAAATGAAAAGAGATTAGTGGTGAATAGATATTCAATGAAGAGAAAATACACGAACAAATCCAAATCATAAATTTTGTTCAGCCTGATTGTGCATGACACCAGGAGAAAGACTGAATGTGCATATATAGCAAGACATTATTAAGACCAATGATTGCATTATTTCATGGAGAAAAGGATAGCTGAATACATATATATGCGTATGCATGTGTAAACATGCATAACCAATACGTATCAAAACAGAAAGGCAAATAGAATAGTCAAATCACATTTCATATAGGTATGAAGCCATTGTCAGGACCAAGTCTAACACGTACCGGTGATGTTAAATATACATAACCATTGGATGATAACGACAATTTGTCATGATTACATGATACAATATTATTATTTTCATTATTAAATTGTATTGGTTTAACTCCAGTATCAGTGCCATCAATATTTGTGTCTGAGATCGTTTTCTCCTTCAATTCACCGTCTTCCCCACTTACATTACGAGCCTCTTCCTCTTCTTCTCTCAAATATTTTAGTTCAACTTCAATATCCAAATAAGTGATTAAGAGACGAATGAATAATGTTTGTGGTTTAACATTCTGTAGCAATTCACGGGGATCTTTACTAGTTGATGAACGCATTACGTTTGGTGCAATCACAGTGGATAAATTACGCGCATCCATTAATGACTGATTTGAGTGAACTGGCTTCGATAGATGCTGTATGTTGCCAGCAAGTAGGTGAAAGATAAACAACAACAAAAGATTATGGGGGAAACAAAATGATGAAAATATAAATTCTTTTAGCGAATGGGAACAAAATATTGGTAATAAAACAAATAAACAAATACTTAACTGACTAACTTGCAGATTTGGACACTCAATCTTCACCTACACCAGGAATGGTAGGTGAACTCATAATTTCAGCCCAAAATCAACAAATTGATAGTTGCAAATGAGCTATTTGACTTAGTTATATGCATAACTAAAGACGCATTGGTAGTCTGGACGGAAATTGGATGGAAGTATATTTTATAGTTGAACTAATTAGATTTAGGACAGTGCCATTTGGATTTTGTGAATTCCCTTTTATCAGGCTGATATATGTGGTTATGCTTTTGTCAGGATAAATATTTGTGCATAGTTGTCCATTTTACCGTCATACCGGTCAAGATTGTTTCAGAGTGGTTTTCTAAATAGTTTGACAGGACTGAATCTAAAACTAGTTTTTATAAGCTCCATAGATTCGATTTATGTTGATAATCTGAACCAGTTAATCCACAGTTCAATCGACATATCTTAGTCGGAATAATGTGATTTCATTAGGTTCTCATCTTTCTTTATTACCATTAATCTATTTTCAGTTGCTTAATCACACAATCACCTAATGTTTGTTAACTCCATTAGTTCTAATCACTATTTCAATGTTTTAGAACATTCCGTCCCAAAGTATATTTATTCGAAACAAAATTTTTATGACCTCATTAACTCTATTGGAATCTTCACTACATTATGATATTCATCTCTAATCACCCTCTTATGGATAAGTATGTCAATATCTGTAATAACGTTGATTTTCAAATATTTTAGGTTGTAAGCAGCTGACGAGAACCTAACGAAATAAAATGAATTCATATTATTCTGCACCAATATTCGTTCTTGCTCTGTTTAAGATAATAAAGGGAACTATGTGTATGAAACATCCTGGTCGACTCATCCTGTTCAATGATGAATGCATAACGATCAAGAATATTTATGATAACATATGAATATACAATAGTGAGTGGATTTTTAAGATTTTACATCGGAAGTGACAAAAAAAACATAAAAAACCCATATAAATCATTCAATTTACCCCACTGATTAAATTATAATCAGCAACATTGTTGTGAATACCAAAAAAAAAAATTTATTACCGAAATGTATATAAAACAAGGTGGTCAAAATAACAGCAGAAAAAAATTTTATTCACAGCATGTGAATTATTAGGTCATTCAACAATATGAAAAACAGGCTAGTAAAGATCAATAGTTCCATGTACGTTGACTGAATTTGAAAAAAAAGATATTGTGAATTGCTAAAATGAAAAATTAACATGAACAGTTCATTGTTCAAGTGATAATACACAACACAGCAGGGATGATAAAATAGTTTTCTAGAACTGTCTATATCCTATAAGAATATCACAGTGAAGTAAAAGGCAGATGAATTAATGTTTGGATAGAATAATGAGGCTTCATTTATATGAAATTGATTAACACTTATTTGAACGAATAACTAAACACTATATATATATCTATTATCGCATCAAACACCATTTAATAACATTAATTAATGACTGGTTAGTAGTGACCAGTGCCATATATTTTATCTAGTCCTTAGTTTTGATCGAGTTTTATCAGTCAAATTACCATGTGGCTATGGCTCTAAGTGACTCGAAATCGCATGCACTGTGTTGAGATGTTAGGTAGGTTTAAGTAGTCAATAGGACACCCAGCGTATAGCTTTCATTGCACAAAGTGCTCCATAAGGTTCTTCTAAAAAACCGCTAGACTTTCTTAGGTTTCATCATATCTGTTTTGAAATACTTTCATTCATACAGACTCTTTGCCCACTGTCTTCAAAATAACACAGTCATTTTAAGAATCGCCCAAGCTCATTCCTACCCTATACTTTTATCGAGTTTTTTTTCCAGCCTAATTCAATATCAAACAATACTTCCTACTGACAAATCAAACAATTTTAGTTTACATTTAACTTCTGGTTTAATATTTCATCATAATACAGTCGTTAATGTCAGTTGTTATTTTTCTATCGGAAAGGTAAGTTCTAGCCAATATAAAGGATATTATGTGAATGGTTCTATCTATTCATGCAATGAATATTAGATAAATTAATTTCACTATTAATTAGGAATTCATTATGAACATTTAACTTGGAGTAGTAGTATTTTGTTCATCTCTAAGTAACTAACCAACCAGCTAACTAGCGTAGATAGAATTAGAAAACAGTCGAGGCAGAAAAAAAGAAGTAGAAATTGATATTAGAAAAACAAATGAAAATGATAAAACTGAATAAATATTGGCATATTGTTTTTCGTGAATAATTTATGTGGAGAAGTGACTCATAATCCTTTTCACTATTTTATATGAAAAGAAAATTAAGGTTAACACCGAGTGAAAAACAAAACGAACAAATATTATCAAATCAAACTTCAAATATTGAATCGAACAAATTTACAGCTTATTATGAGATAAGAATAAATTAAGATAGAAAATTTAGTGTTTAGTGAAATACGAACAAATGTCAGTCAACACCAAAGTCAGAATACTAACGTCAAGACAGTCCTACTTTATAGAGTTGAAATTTTCAAAACTATTACAGCCATCATCAAAAGGGTATAAGTATTTATAATTAGCTATCACATAACAAAGCAAACCCCAACTTGTAATTCTCAAAGCAAGAGGAAATGAGACAGACGAAAGAATAAATTGCTCTGGGAATGGAGGCAGACATGAAAAACACTTGGGAAAAACTGGGAAATGAGAGCCAAGGATAGAATAGGTTGGAGAATCCTGGTCAGTGGCCCATGCTCCACGATAGGTAACAGGCGTAAGTAAAATACGAAAAATATAGAATGAAGTTTTACACCTTACTCTACAATTTTACATGCGAAATCTTATATTCCGGAAGTTTGCAAAACTACATGGTTTATTAATGGTAACAAGTTACCAGATGGTAAAATCGTGACACTGATGCACAGAAGCATATATATCCAAATATCTACTAAGCTCACATGATTCGTACATCGTGCTAATGATGTTTCTGTTATATCAGTCAATTTACTGGGTGGTAAACGATTTTCAGTCATCGGCATTGATCCATTATCATTGAGTAACAGTTTATTATGTTCAAAAGCTCAAATTTAAGATTTGAAAAATACCGATCAGTAATGTAAACTGTAACCTCATTGATTGTTCTACATTCATTGGCTGAAAATCAACGTTTTTCAATCTCAATGGTTATATTCCGTTTACTGAAATTCAATGTGTAATTTAAATAGGAACAATATTTTGCAGTAACTAGTAGTCATAGCATCAAATAATCGTTAATATTCGGATATTGCCGTTAAAGTAAAACCTCGAGAACGACATCAGAATTCTTCCCACTTTAGGGCGAAATAGTTGAGGGATTTAAATAGCTCCTTTAAATGGATGCGTAAAATCTGAATATATGATGATTATATACCTGTAAAGACAGTAACCTTTTTCGAATATTACGTTTTTATTGTTAAAATCCAAAATCTCAAACTACAATTTCAAAACAACTCGAAACTCTTGATATATTAGTACAAAAACGCAAAACATTTACTTGTAGAAGTAGGATTAAATATAATAGTGATCTTCTTGGTAATGGATTTAAGCATCTAACCAATCGACAACATTTCTGAATGGGATTTAAATCCGATGACAAATTATTACCAGTTATTGAATCTTTATCTTGTAATTCATAAACTTCCGCTTCACAAGCAGCTTTCAAACATATCGGTTGTAGTTCAACTGGAATAAGAGGTTGACTTAATTCACGTAACCATAATTTCAACAGTCCTGCAGCTAAATGAGATTCCAGATTACCAGAATTACTATTATTACTAGTTGTTGTAGATGGTAACGATGTTGATGACGACATTGAACACGAACGTTTGATGATACTGGATAAAGTTCTAGGCCAATAAGCAGTTGGTGTAAGTAGAACATATTCGGCTGGCGGTAACCTTAATGGTTCTGGTAAAATTGGCCAACTAAATTCCCCAGTTAGACAATTCCAATCTAACGTAGATGATAATAGTAGAGAATTGTGCTTACATTTTGTTGAATCAGTAACACCAAAGGAATTCGGGTTATTTTCTGCTTCAATCACTCGTGCAGAAGTAGACCATCCAGATGGAGGTGGACGATGAACTAAGAAGCGACTAGATAAATCAGAATCATTTGCACAATTGTTGTCACTCTGTTGTTGTTCCGAATCACATAGTTGAACAACTCGAAATATTTCAAATAATTTCTCTAGTTGGCAACGTACTTCAATGAGTAAATCCATATCTGGTGATAATCTGGAATAAAGAAGAAAAAACCAATAGAATGAATAACTGAATACATACTAGAAAAGTGCACATAAAGTATGAAAACAATAACAGTGATCGTATGAAACATGAAAAAAATAAATAAAAAGACCTCGAATAAGTGATAAAGCGTAATGTCACCTTATTTCATCCAAAGTTTATTCAAGGTGTAGTTACAAACAGATTGAAAAGTTTAATGGTAATGTGCTTATTAGACTGTCGTAGAAATGCAAATACTTTATAAAGTACCCTAATGAAATTTGTGTCCATTTATAGGCTGAATAGAATAGTCTGGAAGAAAGTTGTAAATGAAGGAAAAACCAAACAGCTGTCTTTAGGATTTGTTGTTGTTTATGAACAATATTTATTACGTGATGTGAACTAGTAAGTTGACACTCCAAACATTGATCTGATCAATCAATAAATAGAGTACTAAATCATCCGTAAAACAAAACATGCGTAGTTCTATTAAAATAAGCAGCGAAGAGCAGATAATAACTTGCATAATGAAAAGCAATCAACTGTAAATATATAGATAATGGAATTTAATTCCAATATGAAAATTCCTTTTATATACAAAACTTAGAAGTATTTCGGCTGCCATAAACACAACATTGGCAAAACATAGACGACCTTTACTTTTACAAATACACGAACACAAACGAACAAGTGCATCCACTCTTTGTGTTCTCCCAAATTATAATCTTCTGAATTCTTCATGTCCCTTTTTTCCTCTTTCCAAATTTGTTTCACTGTATTATACTCCTTGAATAACATCTTTAATCCCTAATCTTTCGGATTACTGCTTATACTCTTATTACCTCTACCACTACGGGATTTGAATCGACAACTGCATCTCTGTGCTGATGTGGTATGGCAACTCGAACTGATGTACTCACGTACGAAGTTCTACGTTGTTACTGACTGACTGAAAAGAAATAGTATCAATTATCAACGATATCTATGTACGTCGTCAACTTTAGACATAAATTAGAGTGGAAAAATGTTGGAATTCTGGATCGAGGATATTCTAAGAACATCAGAAAGTTTCTGGAAACACGGAATTCATATCAATTACCACCAATCAATAAACACATCGAATGGAACCTGATCTGTCTGCTCATTTGAAAAAAGCTATTAAACAACATGGTCAAAGGTCAACGGAATAAAACAATCAATGAAGATAATGAAACCTACGATGACAACCAGTCACAAATAAGACTACCAGAATAAACTGATTTAAGAATATCTTAACAGTTCATCTCTGTATGCAATTAGGGTTGATGGTACTGTCCAGAACGGCAATGAAAGTCACTGAGTTGAATTATCTGGATCAGAGAACTTCAAAGTCAGCCACCTGAGTTGAAATTCTCCATCATATACAAATCTGCAGCTAAAAAAATTAATGTACTTCATACGAAAATTTCGAATTCTGAATAAAAATGTGAGCTGGGATGTAGAGCATATTGATTAATATTAGTTCTTCATGATACACAATGATGAGTCACTGAAAGATTGATCAAATTTAATACAAAATTCTAATAACTGTTAGAAATCAGCAATCACTGAGTTGCTAAAGTAGTAATCAACGGAACTTTGCCTATGCCAAATATAAAAACCGAGTTAGCATCACTATATATATCATAAACCGACAGAATGAAATGAAAATTTATATTTATACACGAAAACAAAACAGGATATATACAGAAAAGAAATTTCATAAAAACGAGACGTTCATTTTTGAATAAAATATGAATAAATCTATGCCAAATTTATCAATTTCAGTAATGAGGCAATAGAATTGTTGCATTATCGTTGTCTTTATGGATGATAATGATGACGGAGTTTTAAGCTAATATTGAAATGCCTATATAACACACGCAGAATGTCATAATCATCGTTGTTATCAATATTATTGCCAGTAGACGACCAAAACAAAAAAATTGGCAGAAATGCGCAACAATAATACAAGACATTAGCAATGAATCATCATTTTCACATAATGTTCCCACATATATAGTGTAACTGAAGTGAGATCATCAAAATGGGAGTCAAACCAGTTGAATCAAAATAAACTGTGTGTGCGTATGTTCAAGTGAAAACAAAAATTTTTCACTGTCTAAATCAATACTATTGAATAAAATTACATTTTGGATGTGTATTGTATGTATGCTAATATTGATACAAATATACGTGTCTGTAAGAGAGACGGGAGAGATAGGTGATACGATTGTTGCCCGTATATATACATATGTGAAAATAACATCGATCCATGTGTGTTGTTTGTTATGATAAAGAATTTGAGGAATCATTTTTCATTACGATTACATAAATAGGTAGGCTCAATGTAGTTATTGGCCTAACTAAATAAAAATTATTGACCAGTGTAAGGGGTTTACAATGATTGTTGAATGCTGTAATTCACATTACAAACTGACTTTGGTTAAACAATAAGGCACTGGATAGTTGTTTCGTCTTGAGTGGGGACTCCTCACGAGTTCGTGTTCACGATCACACTAGCAGAGATTAAAATCAGGACGTCAGGTCACGTGGGGAGCGAATAATACATTAAGACACATGCTTCTTCATTTACGTTGGTTGTCTGACCAAGGTTAGTTAGTGATGTAAACTATAAAAATTAATGGTTGCCAGTAATGACAATAATAATAATAATAACGATAACGTCGTATAAATGTATGCCTTACTGCGCAGTATTAGTTAATAAAGCTACAAGTATGAGAGTAGCAGTGGAAAGTGAAGAGCTGTAGGAAGCACCATAATAATAGTACATTTCTGTTAGATCAAAAATGACAAAAAATAAACTTTACTGCAGCTTACATGATACAAAAACTAACTAACTGACTGACTTAAAAGTCTTCTGTTTACATAAGCACCAAGTATGATATAAACACAATCGTAACTATGCTACAAAGTGATGAACATGTATATTTTACTTCTATTCTACTTACACGTTCGGTTTTACGAAAATAGATAGTATTATTATAGTTATCATAGTGAATAATTTGATTCCTTTCTACATTACTTTTTAATGTATCTCTCTTTCCCACAGTGAACGAAAACAAGTTACAATAAATTCCATAGTACTACGACTACCAAAATACTTATGTAGTTCACATTAAAAGATTTATACTCTTTCGTAAAAGTAGAATCAACACGTTAACATAGTTAGATCAATAGTAAGTTATGAAAAACAATCTTTAATAATTCCGCTTAGTTCGTTAAAGAAATCGATATTAGTCTACTGTGAGAAGCATCTGAATCATTCTTTAAACATGCCGAGATATGAAAGATTGTAACTTGTTACGAAGCGACGTGATGTTTTTCCCCGAGAGTTTCTAAACGTTTTGGAATGGGTAGTGTGTACAACTGAAGAGTTCTGGAACATAACGAAACAGTTGTTTAGTGTTTCTTAGTTTTCAACGACATTCCATCTAATATCGAGTTGTAATATATATTAACTTCAAAATGACAAACAAACAACAGAAAATAAATTCATTGATATAATGCAGTTTTCATATTCAAATATGAATAATGGTATTAAATGCCAACTGATAAATAGGTTTTTCTCTACTCAGGTATGAGGGTCAAACACTTTTTCTAAGAGATAATGATCATCACTGGGGTTAATTAAAGCTAAATTAGAGTAAATTTTGTATTTTTGTGTCAAAATGACTGAATGTTAAATACATAAATCGATCGATCACAGTCCTATTCACTGAACGACGACGTATAAGTAAACATGATTTACACTGAAATAATTTATCAATAAAAATTCATTTATATATTTGTTTTTACTGTACAAAGACAGGTAATTACTTAATAGGTATTACAAATCATAGATTATAACAATTAAAAATACCAGACAATATAATAAACTGAAAAAAGCAGGTTATAGTACAAATTCATTTCATGTTTCCGTGTGTGTGTGACAGAGAGAGACAGGTTGATTTTATTCAAGTGTTATTGTGTTGATGATAACTGTGGTATAAGTAGAGAGACAAGTGGATAAGGATTGATAGATGAGAAGGATAATAATAAATGTGTCTAGACAAAAGGAATCTTTTGACTTCGTTACAAGCTACTTTTATTCTTTACTCTATGGATTTAGTTAGACAAAATTTAGTAAATTACAAAAATATCCTTGTTTAATGAAGGAAAAGATGTGGATCATTTTATCTTCCATGAAAGAATGGTGAAATATATGGGATGGAGGGATTATGCTGTTAATAGTACACATCAAATAAAATAATTGCTGACTAAATATTTCGATCAATATCCGACACCACGACATGGGGAATTAATAATTAAAGAAAATTAGTATTTAATATTTCTAAAAGAAGCAACTGGAAATAATAAAAATTATAAATGAAGGAACACTGTAATAAAAAGAATGAAATAGTTAAAATTTATGGGTTAACCATAGGACGATTAGAAAGGTGGTAAAGTGTGAATAATAATTTAAAGATATAAAACAAACTCAACACTTTCTGGCATTATTATGGGCTTAGATTGCAGAAAACTTCAAGATTATAAGTAAGTTGTAATTGAAAAGCGTTTAACAGTGTAGCAAATATATAACTGCTGCATTTATTACTATTAGTGTTGTGGTTGAGTTTGTGTTTTGACTTTTGAACATCCTATTACCTTAATCATTCGATCTCTTTATTTAATGATTTTTTGTTGATTTTTGTATTTTTATTGTTGTGAAGACTTGGATTTAAGGAGATACAGAGGTGAATTTGCGAGTCAGTTTAAGCTGGACGAACATTGAAAACATGGAGTCACTAGATAGCTATTTCGTTTTAAAGGTGGTCTAGCTTAGATTGTCTCATGAATTCAACTGTTAAAATAACTACAATTTCCACAAATCCCCATTCAGATACAAGTGTCAAATTCTATATTGCCTGAGTCCCGTTATAGTACTAATTATTTAGATAATTGACACATTTCAAGTTGGAACCTTTCTTATG